CCCCGTGTGTGTGTGTGTGTGTGTGTGTGTGTGTGTGTGTGTGTGATTTCTCGATTTTTGTTTCTCTGTCTCTCCAGCAAGTACATGTACCCTATAGCAAAAATCTCTCTCTAAAAAAAAAGAAAGTTTGTCCTTGCTTTATATGGAGAAAGTGAAGACCAGTCAGTCTAAGAGATTTATCCAGGCTCAAGAGGAAGCTAGGAGCTCCCTGATGAAAACGAACCACCTGGGTCTCCTGATCCTTCAATCCTTTATTCTTCTTTCCAGGGTTAAGCTAATGCCCTATTTTTTGGCACTCTGATAGACCTAGAACTGAAAAGCCATGAAAAGCCATGTAGATGAAGCCAGCATGTCTGTCCACATGCCTTTGGGGAAGCAAATCGAGTCTGGTCCTAAGTGGGTATCGCCCTCCAAACAGGGCGTCAGATCTGCTGAACAGAAAGCTCAGACTTGGCCCTGGTTCAGCCCCTCCTTCCAGGGGCTTGAGCAAGTTCTTCAGCCCTTGAAACTTGCCCAAAAGATCACTACATAAAGGTGGGTCGATCCAAAGAGAAGCGACACAAGTCGCAACTCAAGGTCACCAGGCAGCTGGATGGTGTCAAGCCAGCAGTGATGTGAGCAAGAGGTTAAGTGAAGCAGCTATAAATAGAGTCCCCCAAAGCATTACAAAAATCTAAGCCAGCCCTACAGCTACGGCTTGGAGAATGTGAGCAACAGCTGATAAACAGACTCCTGGCACGGCGGCGTCCACGGGCGTCTGAGCTCGATGAAGCCACACCAGCCACGCTTTACAGCTAGAGGCCAAGGGGGAGGCAGGAGAAAGGGCTTGCGGAGCCATGAGGGATAACACTCCAGGCACTTCGTGAGGCTGTTGGAAAGGTTTAATGAGTTAGTGCACACAGGGGTTTAAAACAGGGTCTGCACATTGTAAGACTCTGGCAGTGCTGCTGTTTCTCCAAAGTGACATTGACACGTGTCCACTCAAATACACTAACATTTCCCTCCCAGCTGACTCATTTAATGAGAATTATTAACTTATTTGCCAATACATGCGACTCCACCTGCCTCCTCCAGCAGAAAGCACGGAATCCCATCTTTGCCTAGCCGGCAGCAGGCTTTCCTCGTCTTACTTTCAGTCTTGGCCTCTTGACCTCTGTCTGACAGTCCACCTTAATGTCACTTTTTGTTTTCAGCTTTTTACACATTCAACAGAAAAGAGAGTGAAAATATAAACAGAAGGGTAGAGCAGGCAGGTGATTTCTCAGCTTATCAGGAGGAAACCTGAGGCTTGCAAATTGGTCTCCTTGGGCCCATAAATCAACCCAGCTTCAGCTTTTGATTTTTATTCTAAATAAGTGTCTGCTCCAATTAGCGTTTCAGGCATTTCAGCTGAAAATCTGTGATGTCACTCAGAGCTACTCTGGCACAAGCAGGCAAGCGGCCCCTCACCTTTGTATTCTGCCAGGCACACACACTCGTAGCCATTAACAAGGTCCCTGCAGGTGGCGGCGTTCAGGCATGGCGCGGAGAGGCACTCGTTATACTCCTCCTCACAGTAGAGGCCGTGGTAACCTGAGGAACAGAGAAAAAGGCCTGCTGTCAAAAGAACCCATCAAAACCACACTTGGTGGTTAAGGTGCTGGACTCCCACATGGCCAGCTGGGGTTTGCATCCTGGACCTGGTGGTTTACTTCCTCACTTTTCCTGTCTCTCTCTGGTCAAATTTAAATAATAATAATGATAATAATAATAACAACAATAAATAGAATTAAATAAATAATTCTTAAAAAAAAAAAAAAGTAAAGGAAGAAAACAAAACTCACCCTGGGTCAGCCTGCAAAAATGAGACTTGGGTTTTGATTGGAAAGAATGGTACAGGACCAATGGGATTTTAGAGCTGCGTCTCTTGGGGTAAAATTGACATGTGGGTTTGGGGAATGGTTATAAAGAAGGAGCCCATTCTTATTACGTTTTTTCATGATTGCAAGCATAAAGAAGACGATCCTGTTTATCCACTGTCAGTCTCATCTTTAGCTGTCATTTGGTGTTGATGTTGGGGGACCTGGTCACGAGTGTGTCTGCTGTGACCATAGGAGACAGTGAGAGCAACAAACAGTAAGGAGAACCAGACTTTTCCTCTAAAGCAATGAGGAAAGTGTATGTAACTACAGAGAATCTGGTTAAAGGAGAAAAAGCACCAATGTGTTTTCTTTTTTTTCTACTTTTGAAGAGAAAAGGCACATGTGCTCACCAGAAAGAGAGAGACAGAGAGACAGAAAGCGAGAAATCACCGCCCCTGGGGATGGCCACGCTGCAATCCCTTCTCCTCCATCCTCCTCTCGGGATCTTGGGCATGCACACACACGCGCCCGGCATGAGTTTTAGCCACTGGGTCTGCGACTCGCACCGAGGTCGACTACATGGGAGTTCAGTGACATAGCCATTACGCTAACTGCTGGTCCCACTAATGTGTTTTCTTTATCTTTTAAGTCAAGAAAAACAATTTGCCCAAAGGACTTAGCTGAAATTCCTGATGAAATGTGGTTTTTGTGTTGTTGTTGTTTAAAAATATGATTGTATAAATAACGATATTTAAAACTGTACATAAATGTTTAAATTATTAAAAATACAGTCACATGAATAAAGGGGAGGAACGATAATCTCTTGAAAAAGACAGTATTCCCTCTCCTATTTTCAAAACAGGTGTTTATTCTAAAGGACAAGAAGACAACATTCCTAGAGATTCACTTGTGAGTGTGACACCATTTTCAACTTTTCAAAAACACGTGTCACTGCCAGTTTGCTGTGAAGCCAGGCCATTTTCGTCTGGCCCTGTCCAAGCAATGAAACATGTGAGCACTTTCAAAAATCACCCTGCCTGTGTTAGTCCTGAATTCAGATAAGCAGAATAAATAAAACCCTGCCCAAGCAGGATTTCGAACTACTAGCTTTTTGCCAGCCTTTTCAACTCACAGCCAGCCCTGAAACTCAGAAAGTCCATTAGAACATGTTGATGTGCCCCACAATCTTGCTTCCTGTGCCCATCGCGAAAGTAGGTTAAGCTCATACTTGCATTATTAACAGAGCCCTTTTCAAGCATGTTGCCATTTCAGTTGTTTTTGAACTGCGTTCCCAGTTTAGGCAGTAATAACGCCTCCCTTAAGGAGACCTTGACCTACCTAAGACAAACACACTATGGTTCTCAGTTCTTTCAGTTTACCTTACTTTTCGTCATTTTAGAAACTATTTTGCATTACTCTTCATCACATTAGTTCAATTGCTTAGGTGAGAAGTTCTTAATTAACGTGACTTTGTCCACCAGAGGGCATTTGGCACCATTCGAGACATTTTTGTTTGTTACCACTAGAGGTGAGAGGAAGGCGTTGCTCCTGGTATCTAGAGGGTACAACAAAGGAAGCTGCAAAGCCCACTACAGTGCCCAAGGCAGCCCCCACCACAAAGACCACCCAAGGACCATTGCAAAAGACGTCAATCTGACCAGGCCAAGAAAGCCTACTCTAGATTAGAAATTGACCAAATCTATTCCAGCCTGATTTTTGTCAATAAAGTTTTATTGAGACACAGTCATGCCCATCCATTTGTGTATTACCAATAGCTGCTTTCCTATTTCCATAGCAGACCAAGCAGCTGCAACAAAGACCAGATGGCCTGCAAAGCCTCCATACTTACAATACAGTCCCTTTACACAGCAGTTTGGTGACTCCTAAAATCAACAGAAGATCTTTCTCTTTACCAAACTTTTGGAATAAAACCCCTGACCAAATATATGATTTGCAAATATTTTCTCATTTTCATGGCCTGCCATTTTGCTCTGTTGTTTCCTCTGCTGTGCAGAATCTTCTTAGTTGACACAGTGCTTCTTCTCTATTTTTACTTTGTTGGCTGTGGTTTTTAAATTTTTCAGAGAGAATCTCACGATGGTGTGATCCTCCTGCCTCAGTCTCCCAGCTGGGGCTACAAGCATGTGCCACCACACATAGCACTCTTCTAGATAGGGTCTTGCTATGTTTCCAAGGCCTCCCTCCAGCTCACAAGTCTCCTGCCTCAGCCTTCCAGGTTGAGGGGATGACAGGTACATACCACTATACCCAGCCTTAAGATCAAAGTGGGAAGTGAACATGGATCTCCAACATGGTCCCAGTCTACAGAGCACAGTGTCTTAGCAGCATGTACCACCGAGGCTGGTGTTAGAGCTAGCATTGATGTTATATCCAAGAAATCATTGATGTTATATCCAAGAGACCATTGCTAAGAAAATACTATGAAGCTTTTCCCCTATGTTTTATTCCTAGAGTTTTATAGTTTCAGATGTTATTGGTTCACTGGAAAAGTCATGACATATTTTTTCTGTTTTTCTATGCAAAAATGCATCATGACTTTACAGATAACCCAATGCATTTAAATCATTAATCCATTTTGAATTGATTTTTGTGTATGATGTAAGGTAATACAAATGGTCAACAGATGTATGAAAAGATGATCAACATCACTAATCACCAGGGAAATGCAAACTAAAACACAAGGGACTATTACCTCCCATCCCTCAGGATGACCATTATCAAAAAGAAAGAAAAAGAAAAGAAAGGAGGGTGGATGGGAAAGGAAGAAAGAAAGAAAGGAAAGAAGGAAGGAAGAGAAAAAGAAAGAGAGAGAGAGAGAGAGGGAGGGAGGGAGGGTGTCTAACATGATCAAACTCACAGAACCATGAATACTGTTCAGTGAGCATAGTTTCAGTTATGGAATGTAAGTACAGAAGGTCTGTCGCACAATGGTGTGTGTGTGGTAGCCGATATTGCAAGGTACACTTAAAAATTCATTAAGAACTTAAATTGCAAGACAAGCAGGTGGCATGGTAGCTAAGGTGCTGGACTCCTGTGTGTAACTGTGGTTCAAGTACCGCACTGGAGAGCTTGCTTTCTCACCTCTCTCTCTGATGAGTGTCTACTGAAAATTAAAAGTAATAATGATAATAAATAAAATTAAATAAATTTTAAAAGAAGCTAGATTTTCTGTTGTTTTTTTTTGCTGTAATATATGTATATAATACACCAAAGATACATATTATATATATACATTATGTATTATGGATGTGTGTCTGTATTATATATATAAAGTTAAGTGTCATGGCTTCTTCTGTTTCAAAGAACTTTTTATAGCCAGTGTAGAATATCAACTCATCAGCAGCAGTATGTTTTGTTCTCCTAGAAGATTTTTTAACAATCAACTTGGAAAGATAAAATATAACCCTCCACACATCATTAACCTCTAAATTAAGGTATTATTTACCAAGACAAAAATCAAAAGCAAGTTTCACGAAACCATCCATAATTGTTTTTGCTTTTTTAAAATAGTATCATTATCTTTTTCCACTAGCAACATGAAAAGCAAATGAGGAAGTTATTTTACAGAGATAATTAAGCTGGTGATGTTTTTCTTCATTGGGAGAAAAAAAAAAAGATAAAGGTTTCATATTCTAAAACTGTTTCTTCAGAAAGGGTAACATTTAAATTTCTTTATGGAAATGTCAAGGCACCCCTACACTCTGTGCCAAGAAACCTAAATCGAACTGTTTGAATAAAAAAAGGCATTCTTCCAAAAGAGAAGGCTTCTGTGAAAATGAGGCTGCCACCCCCCTGCTGATAATTAATTCAGGCAAACAAATTAGCTCAGGGCAGTATGCCCAGGGTCTAAAATAATTAGGCTAATCCAAAAGATGTCTTTAAAATAAAATAAAAGATAAGAAGGGTGTGATCAGAATGGCCCCTTCCAGGGCACTGAGCCTCCTCAGCACCACGCCAGTCTTTGCATGGCTTACTCCTAAACACTCGGCTCCAGTCCCTTCTTTAGAACGGACAGAACACAGCAACCAGCTGAGATGGGAGAGAGGAAGCGCCCAGAGGACTCCCAGAGGCAGGCTGACGCTTCATTCACACAAAGAGCTACGACAGGCCAGCCAAGGTGACATGGCAGTAACGCAATGCCCCACAATGCTGAGGCCATGTGCGAGGGTCCCAGGTTCCTGTCCCAGGCTCTCCTTGTGTACATCAAATGCATACATGTGCCATGGTCCTGGATGGCTAAGGCAACCAAAGGAAAAACAGGTTTGGAGAAAGAAGACCAGTTTCATTCTGGACATGTTTAACTTGGGGTTCACTTGGAGAGAGCTGGGTGGCAGTCAGAAACATGGGTGTGAATGGCAGGGGAAGAGCACTTAGGGAATTGGGGAAAGAGCACTTAGGGAATTGGTTGCCTGGAAGTGTTGAAGTTTTCATCAAAGAAGAGCATAAAGAGGATAAAAGAAGGACCAAGGTCACAGGTGAACAGATGGGTGGGGGCAACACAGGATGCAAGATCAGGACAGCAGACAGACATTGGGCTACGGAAAGGAGAAAAGCCCCAGGCATGCAGAGTCAGGGACGCCAGGAGAACACAGTCACTGAGGGCTGCCAGCAGTGTCAGAGGCTCTAAGGAGTGAGGATGGCAACTGGATTACATTAGGGGGCCAGATGGTGGCACAACGGTAACGCAAGGTCCTGCAAAGCTGGACCCCC